CACTTAGGGCTGTGCTCAGTGATTGCATGGGAGGAGGCACAGGGACGGGGTCCGGTCCTCCCGCTCCTATCCAACCCAGCTCCCAGCTTTCCAGTTCAGCCTGAGGCCTTTGACCTCCCCCAAGCTGCTGTGACTCCCCCCATCTTTTCTCTCCTTCTTTTCCTCTTTCTCTTCTCCTCATTCTTCCTGCCCCTCTCTTTTCCTCTTCTCCCTCCCTCTTTCTCTTTCTACTTTTACTTCTGGGTCTTTGTTCTTATTTTTGTACCTGACCCGATGCTTTCCACATTTTCTTTTTTTTGGTACCGGCAATCGAACTCAGGACATTGCGCTTGCCAGGCAGGCACTATGCCTCTGAGCTATATCCCTGGCCCTCCCACGTTTTCTTAGCCTGCTCTAAATGATCAACAACATCTCTCTCTGATCCATCCAAATGATTTCTGGATCACTTGAGCCCACTCTGACTTCTGCCTTTTGCACTCTTCCTGGATGCTGGGTGCCCTTGTTTGTTACCTTCCTTATCTTGTGTTTAAAACCTGACACCACCCCCGCGCATGGACTGTCTATGCCCCATGTGCCTCATTCTGTAGCAGGCTGCATCTGGAATCCCAGCCATGCTCAGCACAGGGCTGTTGTGATACCAGTCATGGTGTGTTCATTGATTGAAGCACAGATGTTTCATACAGAGTTTGAAAAGCTGTCTGTACTTGATGCCAACACAACATGGAGAAGAGCAGGAATTCTGTCATCAGTTTTGAAAGTTTTTGATGTCTCCATGACTGATGTGGTGGATTTTTTTCCATTTGTTGATTAAAGAGCAGTGATGGTGGAAGGCTAGATCTGACATTGGGTTCTTAAAGGCGTTCTAAGAGCAGATGTAGCTGGGCATAGTGGCGCACGCCTGTAATCCCAACACTCGGGAGGCTGAGGCAGGAGGATCGTTGTGAGTTTGAGACTAGCCTGGGCTACAAAGTGAGCTCATGGCTGGCCTGAACTGCACAGTGAGAACCTGTCTCAAAAAGACCAAAAAAAAAAAAAAAAAAGATGTTTCTAAACTGGGTGTGGTAGGTATGCCTGTAATCTCAGCTACTCAAGAAGCTGAGGCAGGAGGATCACAAGTTCCAGCCCAGCCTGGGCAACTTAGTGAGATCCTGTCTCAAAAGAAAAAATAAAATGGGCTGGGGATGTACCTTGGAGGTAGGGCACCCCTGGGTTCCATCTCTGGTGCCACTACAAAACAAAACAATCTCCTAAATCAAACAAACAACCAAACAAATTCTAGATGCATCTGGGCTCCAGAAAGGTGCTGAGCTATAGAAACTTTTGTGTAGGTGGCCACGGTGGAGCCAGAACAGAGTGAGGAATCAAAGTGTGGGTCAAGGGCTAATGTCACCTTACCTTTTAGGGTGATGTTTTTCTCTTTGGAGTCAGAAAGCATAGATGGACCTTCATCTTCATTTTGTGTACTTTTGAGTCTCACATGCTAGGTCTGTAAACACGTCCTAGGCATTGATTTTGGCAAGAGATGGTAAGAGCATACAAAAGAAAAGAATCCCACTGAGTGAGATATTTCTGTAAATCTTTCTCTTCACAGAAATCTGCTTAATGTACTTCTGTGGATTTAACTAATAGGAGTGGGAGTGGAAAAGTCATCCTCACATGAAGGAAACATGGGAAGTAGGAGTAATACTGGGCTATATCATAAGGAATATGAATTCCAGCTCTAACCTAATGATTAGAATGACTGTGACCTGCTCACAACCCTCTTTCTGAGCCTCAGTTTCATCTCCTGTAAACCAAGAAATGGGCAGGACAACAACCAAGTTTCATTCCTGGAGACACCACTGTATTTATACTTCCAGAGTTCTCTGTATTATTTATAGACACCATAGCTATTTTCTCCTTTGATCCTCACAATGAACCTATAAGGTGGATCTGGTAGGGGTTATTATTATGCGCATTAGAAAGCTGGGAGTTTTGGAGCTGAGCCATGTTGGTGCTTTCCAGTCTACAGTAATCCTTTCTTAGCAGGAGGCTCTTTCCTATGGATGGATGTTGACATAATGCAGAATGTAGGCACCTGTCTGTTAGGTTTTTCTGATGCATGAATATAAAGGGTACAATTATGAGGTAGACCATAATTTCACCATGTTCATATTGCTGGTTTGTTTTTTGGAGATTGCTTTTGTCTGCTGAATGTTGTATTACTTTGTACAGTTCACTAACTGCAGTAAGTAGTCATAAACAGTGACTGGAGCGAAAGTGGTCTTGGTAAGGAGAGGTGGAGAAATAAAAGGGAAGGAACTGAATGAAGTAGTCAGGCACTATTCTATATACTCTACTAGTATTAATCCCTCTGGTCCTCACATTAATACTTGGAGCAAGTTGCTATCATTATGCCCATTCTACAGACATTGAAACCAAGACCTCAAGAAGTTAAATACACAGCCCAAACTAGTAAGTGTAAGAGTCCTGTCAAGTTCAAATTGGATAGTCATAAGCTTTTGTGTGATGCTGTAATATAAAGTAAGAGTTAAAAAAAAGGCCACCTAAAGCTAGCAAGATTGCAGAGGGGCATGCCACATATTGCTGGTAGCATCGACAATGAATTTCATCTTTTCAAAGGGCAATATTTGGCAAGAGCTATAAGGTTTTCCACACTTGATTTAAGAATGTTGATTCTAGAAGTTTATTCTAAGCTTATAGTTCAACAAAAACAAGAAGCCATATGCATAGAATTTATTATATGATCTGTACTAATGGAAAATGGGGAACAAATTAAATGCCTCAAAATGAGGTCTGATAAAATAATTTCATAATACACTCACTTGTTGAATTATGAAAACATTCAAAATGAGAATTACAAAGACTATGTTTTAAAAGGGCAAGAAGATGTTCTCCACAATATATTAAAATTTAAGAACAGGATTAAAATATGTAGATTACGATAACTCTAATGTAGATGCATATTGCCAAAGCCTAACATAGAATAGGAAAAAGTTCTAGTAGATGTTTAATTTTTTCAGATTTTCATTAATAGGGGCACTATGTTTATCTCACAGATAATGAAAAAAGAGAAGAGCTGGTGGCAGAAGTGGACTGTAATAACCATCCAGGATGACGCTAGGGGCTGGCGGTGGTTCTCAGGCTGCCTCCACCCCTGAGTTTTCTGGGGGCAGCCCAAAGGGCCTGGGAAGAGGCTGGCGCTTGAAGGATCCCTGAGTTTGTGTGAGGCAGGAAGGATCCTGCCCTGCCAGTGCCACCCAGACTACAGTTAAGTGTCTAGGTCACCTCTGCCTTGCCTCACTTCTATTCTTCATTCTTCACCTCTCAGAAGACAGTTTCCTAGGACCAACCTTGACTGCTCCCCCTCCTCCTCCCATTAGGTGGGTGCTGTCCCAGTCAGTTTCCTTCCCCGGCATCCAGTGCCACAGCCCATCTCTGCACCCAGTGGGTTCTGTGGTGATGGCCTGTTTACCTACCAGAGATGCAAGGGTTGGGATCTCAAGCTGATCTGGATCGTCCCTCTGTGCCCTGACTCAAGCACTCCTTCTTATCTCTAAGACGAGGTACCCGAGTTTGAATTCCATACCTTCCAGCTCCACATACCATGATTTTGCCATCTGGTTTTTCCCAGATGCATGTAATAAAGGAACCACTGATTTTGAAAAGAAATGCCCTGTGACTTCCTGCCGCACGTATTCTCTGGCCTTGGTGTAGACTGTGAGCCTGGTCTGAGGGCTGTGGGGGGAGTTTTCTTAGCAGATTGGCTCTGCATGCATGAACACGGCCTTAGCCACTGCCTGAGAACAGGGCTTCTGGGTGAAGGCTCTTTGCTTCTGTTTTGTGAGTACCCGGCCGGCCAGCCAGAAGCCACATGTGACTTGGGAGCTGTGTCTCCACGTGTGAATCTGCAGGAGCCCTGATGTCACATATCTGCCTGCAGACTGTAGAAGTGGGCGTGTCTGTGCACATGGCTGTTGTGCTCGTGTCAGACCAGTCAAATGGAGGACAAATGGCTCTGGATTTTTGGACAGTGTGTCGCTGTACAGACCGTGTGAACACATCTAGGAGAACGTGTATTTTTTAAATTCAGCAAATATATCGGCAGCTTTGTGCTCTGCAACGGCAGGAATGCGGTGCGCCAGGCAGGGAACCTGGGGTGCGCATGTCTTACTTACGACTGCTTTGTGCGTCCCCTGTGTGTCTTTGGGAATGCGTTCTTGGCACGTGTCCCGCTTTAACAAGGCGGTTGTTCGGTGTGTACATGTCTGTGCGACAGTGCTCGGGTCTTGTTTGCGGCTGCTTGCTCGCTTTCCAGCTCCACTTGTGCCCGCAGTCAGGCTCTGCACGTGCGCCTGCCTCCCTGCGCACGTCCCCGAGTGACCCGTGCGCGGTGGGACCTCTGGGTCGTGTGCACTTCTCGCGCTCGTGCCCGTCTCTCTGCGCTAATGAAAGCACCTCCACATGTCTAGGAGCACGTCTTTTTCTGTATGTGCACATTCCGTGTGCACGCCCGAGTGTGTGTGTGTGTGTATGTGTGTGTGTGTGTGCGCGCGCACGCAGGGGTGCTGTGCACGCGCACCGGTCTGCAGGCGGCCAGGACCCGTGTTGGGCTCCACGCTTCCCGCGGGGCTGAACCCTCCC